GGTCGGTGCTGGGTGGCAGGGAAGCGTTATCCCAGCTCAGCGCCACATCACCCGGGGTACCCGCTGTCAGCGGCAGCTAGAGAGGAACCTCTGGTGGGTGACTCAGCAGCCCTGTCGGCTGGCCGAGCTGCGTGAATAGGATGCTATTTATTCGTTGTTAGACCCTTCACGTATAGCTCAGCCCCAGTTGCCGTGCCAAGGTACCCACTGTTGGCCGTTGTTGGAGAGAAGATGGCGAGCTAGGCGGTCGTTTGGACTGATTCAATTGAGCTGCTGTGAGGTAGGGTATCAGGTTTTGGTTAAAAGAATGGAAACAGCTCCGGCCCAGTCTCCCGGGGGATACATCTTCCCCTGGTGATGGCAAATGATGTGTTTTTCACCTGTCTTTGCTTGACCGTCTTATTAACGAGCCTCTTTGCGTCCGCAGCTCTGCTCATTTAAGGTTTCCATCTCTGGAGGTCTTGTCGCTGGATGACAATCGTCTGTCAGACCCCAGCGTCTTTGTGAGCCTGTCTCATCTCCGCAGGTAAGGAAGCACTTGGCAGCAGACGGCTCTGGCTTTTGGGGGCTGGCAGCTGCCTCCGTCAGCTGTCGCACAGTAGCAGGCTTAGAATGAAAAAGAAAATCTTTGCGATTCCCTCGAATGCTTCCCTGTTGAGCCTCTCCGGTCTTGCAAACGGGACTGAACGGAAGGAAACAGCCTGCGGCAAAGCACAAGCTGGCCAAACCTGGCAGGTGGCTGGAAATTCAGCTCCTGCCCTGGGTGTTTGCTAATCTCCAGGTCTGATTTGAGAAATGGCAGTTGCTTCCTTCATTTTCCCTTCTTTGCCCTGAATTCATCCTTTATTTCAGCACAGCAGCACTAGGAAAGGCTGCGGATCGGCTCCCTCTGTTTACTGTGGGCTTTCGTGATCCAGGCAGAGACCCGTCCCTAGGAAGGGGGGCTGTTCACGTGCCCCTCGGCTGGGCTGGCCTGGCTTTGGGGACAGCACAGGGACCTTCTGATGTTCCCCTGGTGCTTCCAGTGCTCCGAACTGGAGGGGGGATTTGGGTCTGCCTTGTAGCCTTGGCTTTGCCGAGACATTCCCGGAGGAAACTGCGCGTTGTCCGCAGCGTTTGTGAGCAGGCGAATTTTAGGTCTGAGAGTGCAGGGCTGGGGTGCGGAGATTTGGGTTTCTGCTCTTCCCTAAGCTGTTTTGTGACCTTGGGCAAGTGCTTTGGTGATGCTATCCATCCAGGGGAGGGTGGAACGTTGTTAGGGAATCCCAGCAGGACTGCAGCTTGTCAGAGCCCTGGCTGATTTAACGAACTGCCAGGACGTCTCCTTTTCTGTTAAATTCTCATCAAGAGATGAGCTATGGGGTAGGTGACCCTCGGGCTGGGGTGGGGGACCAAAGTCAGAGGCTTCAGGGGCAACGCCGGGCTGCGCCAAGGACTGAGCCTCTGGTTGGGATTTGGAGAGGAGGGGGAACGGGCAGTGAGATGAGGGTGTCACGAATGCCTCTGCCTTGCTGCTGGGAAGCCCAGCGAGGAGAAGGTGGAGGGCCAGCTCCCTGCCCTGCGGATGCCGGGGCGAACAGATGGCCGGGTGCGTACACCGAGTGCAAGGGGTGCGTACACCGAGTGCAAGGGGTGCATACACCGACAGCAATCGTGGAGTTTCTCACGTGTTTCTTCTTTCCTCTTAGCCTGAGGGAGCTGAATCTGGACAGGAACGGGATTTCAGCCGTCCCCTACCTGCACCAAGCAGAGAGCAGGCAGTTCTTCCTCCACGCCACGCTGGACGGTGACAGCTTCAGGGCAGAGTGGTCCAAGTCCCTAAGCAGCCTCTGGCAGCAGTCCCGGCCACCGCGGCAGGAGGGCACGGAGGTGCCAGCAGAGCTGGAAGCGAAGACAGGACAGCTTGGATATGTCGTGCTGCAGGGGTCCAGACAGGAGGGGTGAGCAGCGCCTGCCTCCCCCTGCCCACGCCGAGACTGCAGGGTGGTTCAGTGGGAGAGGCTCAGCGGTGTCGGGGTGAGGGTCTGCCAGATGTTGGCTAGTAAGTGACGCTGCTTGACAAAATGAAAACGGTGAGGGAGGGATAAATGGGACCATTTTAGACAGCTCAGCGAACCTGTACAGTCCCCCTGGGGCAATGGACATGAATCACCCTAAAGCAGGCATCTCCCATGGCTCAGATAGAAGTGCCTCTTTCTCTCTCCTGGCCTTTTCCAGGGTAGCTGGCTCCACAGGAGGCATTTCATACTGACTGGGAGGAAAACTGGCAAAACTGGGGCAATCATGCAGGTTAGGAAGTGGATTGCTGTGGATCCTGGACAGGCAGAGGGTGGGAAGGTTGTGTGAGTAGGTAGCCCACGGACAGGTCTGCATTCCTGGGGTAGGTCAGCTCTCCCCTCTGGATGTCCTTACTGAAGCGTGATGCACACACCACGCTGGGCCACGCCATGAGATGGATCCAGAGGCTGCCTGGTGTCTCCTGCGTGGACCGGGCTGTGATGGAGGCTGCCGGTGGGGCTCCTCCAAGCGCTTCTCCTGTTCCCTGGCTCGCTGCAGCAGTCCCTGATGTTAGGTAGTTGTGGAGCAGGCAATGCCGCAACTTTGAGTGCGATAGCAGGATGATGTGGGAAAGGCGTCGTGCTCATGGGTGAGACTCCAACCCAAAATCTACCTGTGGGGAGCTCCGGGCTGCCCTGAGGCCAGTAGCAGGGTTTCTACCGTGTTTGGGGATGTGAACCTCATGGGAGTGATGGGGCTGCCAGCAAGCCTGCTATGGTGTGACCGATCCACCCTCACCTTGGGCACGTCTTGCCATGGGGCCCGATCCTGCCTGATGCTAACGCGCTTTTCCAGGGCAATTCCAGCCTTGCCATAGCTGGGGCTGGCCCGGTGCTCGGCTTCACGTAGAAACCCTCGCTTTGGTTGTGTTTCATTGCAGAGGTTGGTTTTTAATTCTGGCTCTCGGGAACACCCAGCGCTGGTAAGAGCCATCGGCTGACCTGTGATGGGGGGGGTATGTGCTCCAAAACTCCCCTTCCCCAAGCCTCGCAGCCGAGTTTCAATAAACCTGTGGGTTCTGCTGGGACTCTGGCCGCCTGCAAGGCTTGCAGCGAGTATTGTCTCTCATCAGGGAGATCAGAAGCAAATTTTCCCATAACCAAGGGACACCGGAGCTTAAACTTCTGTCACTCTCAAACGAAAGCTGGGTCACGGTTTCCTCGTGACTGTGTGCCCCCCTGCACGGGGAAGTGTCTTCTATGGCTCGGGTGGGGACGGAAGCTCAGGAGCTGGGATTTCGTTCATTCTTAGCGCTGTAATCTTTCCCCCCACATTTATTAACACGATGCTCTTCAGAATCAGATGTTTGAAGCCAAAGACCCTGATTTTTATTAGAACTTGAGTAAGGGGCTGAGCTTCCGAGATGCTGAGCACCCGCAGCACGTTCCAGGGTAACACAGGCGTGCATGCACACGCTGGGTGATGGAGTTTGGTGCACTTGACCCGACTCCATGGAGGGCTCCCGCAGTAACACAGAGACCAAAGCAAGCTGCAACGAGACAACCTCCGAAGCGGGTCTGAACCAAAAGATCTTCTCATTATGGCTGTGTTTGGGCTCAGGAGGGTGGTGACCTGCCACTGGAGGTGTCTCCTGCCACCGGAGCCCCTGGAGCGGTGCCTCTGCTCACACTCTTCCTCCTCTCCGTAGGGTTGGTCCTGGGGAGGGAGAACCATGAGCCTCGAAGACTCCGCTGGCTCCCTCCACGCACGGGGACATTCGTGCTCCCTGTCCTGAACTGAAGCGTCTCAGCCTGGCCTTCAACAAGGTGGTTTGGGTCCTGTGGCTCCAGGCAGGTAGGAAGGTTCAGCTGCTTGAGCTTGGCGTTGGTGCCCTGGGGGACAGCCTGGCCTTCAGCTGCCACTGCAGAAGGGCACGGCTCTCCCAAGCTCCTGTGTCCATCTGCCAGCCCACGGGGATGTGTCGGATATCCAGGATCTCTTGGGTGGGACAGGATGCCTATTTAGGCAGCTGAATTGCACCCAGCTTGTCTAAACCCCTGCAAATTCAGGGATGTCATCAGAGAATATACGAAGGATTGCCGTCCCCTTTCCTGGAGCTGCCCGGTGGATGGTGATGTCTCACCGAGGACTTTGCTGGTTTAGTGCCAGGTTACACATCGGGTCCTCAGGGTGCCCTGACACCAGTAACGCGCGACAACATTTAAGCTCCTCTTCCTGGTGCTTCTGGCTCCTGCCCAGGGCTTAACCCACGCTGGTTCCAGAGCGATACAAAGGCTGTGAGGAGCTGCTCGGTGGAGACACGGACGCAGATTTTACTGAGCCGGTTGGTGAGTGAAGAGAGCAGAGGGAACCTTGGCAGGTTGATGAGCAGTATGGTCCACTCCGACCAAGAAAGCAGCAGCAAAGGCTTTTGCTGTCCCGTTTTCCCTCTGGTTGACAGGGACACAGAAGAACGCGCAGGCACTATACGACATCCTGCAACACGCCCCGTTTGGATGCAAAGCCATGACCAGACAGGGTGCAGAAGCCCTACGTGCCTCAGAAAAAGGTAAAGAGCTGAAGCTCCGAAGGGAGACCGGTTGCACCTGTATCTGGATCAATCCACGTGTTTGGATGGATGCTGAGAGCCTGAGCGTGGGCTTGGCCCCAGTTCCCGATCCCAGCGCCTCGCTCTTCTCCCTCCCTCGTGGCGTGGTGCACGCAGCCCCCCCGGGAACCGCCCCGTAG